AAACTATCACCCCAAATGTCACTCAAGCAATTAATTAAGTTGTGTATTGGTTGTTGTATACTAAATGATCAAAGTTGCTTCCCTTCCATACATTGCTTATAAATAACATGGCATGGCTTACTTTCATTTCTACTTAAATACTGCCTCCAGCTTTGTAACACTTTAATGTTCAAACAAATACAATTTCTTCCGCTCAATAAATTATTTTTAAGTACATGGGTTCATCCACAGGAAGTAGTGGACCATTAGACATCAATAAATCTCCTCCAACGAACAAAGAAATTGATGGTGTGTTCGACTACGTGATTTAGTATACAGATGACTCCGAGACGATGAGTTGTTGCCCAACGTTCCATCACCTGAGATTATTGTCATAAACTTGGGCGATTCGGAAGAATATAGTGGGTATGAATATTCAAGTGTCAACGACGATTGAAGTGTGACCTCAATATTTAGGTTATCGACCATATTTATGTTTTCTATTTTCTGCCATGGATTCACATGTTAATGTATATACTTAATGTTGTGCATTCGATTATCCGTCATATTCAATTTTTTTGTGTAATTCACTACTTTGCATTGAACTGTCAAGAGTTATTGAGACAATCTATCGGGATCGACATTGAACTGTCGGCAGCTAGTGAAATATTTTTTCTAGCTAACTACCTTGCCCATAATGGTGTTTCTACATAACTAATACCTAAAACGATAATGACACAAAACTGATAATATAATACAAAATGTTTAACGTCATCATTCTGTGATGTAAAATATAACTTCAACCTTGGAACATCATTCTTATTTACGTGCTTTATGTTCGAACAAGGTTCGAATATGTGGCTCGATTATGGCCAACTCTCTCTCTCACCGATTGCATTTCTTGATGCATAGGCTAAACTCGTATTATTACTTATGCTTGAAAAATTGAGATAGAAATGATAAGCATTCTGTGCAATAAATATGTCGGCATTTAATACCATGATAGTGGCACCTTCGAATATTTAAATCCAAACAATAGCAAACAAGTGAAATTGACAGTTAAAATGTGAATCCCGACATTTCGAAATGTTGAATTCCACTTATTGTTTCAACTATTTAACAGCTAGAATTGATGGGAAGCATTTAATGAATGTGGTTGGAAGACATTCTTCATAACATTTAGTATTGATACCTTTATTCAAAAACATTTCAATAACCAAACCGAAATGAGAAACAATAATTTGAAATTTTCAAATACATATGATCATATTATATTTAACAATTCAAAAATAATAAGTTATAAAATAAAAACATAAACAATGTGTAAATATTAACCTCTCAAAATGGAAGATGACTCCACTAATAATTTCTTCTTGTTGTTGGAATGGAGAAAATGTGAAGAAAATTAGGATTTTTTGTATATGGGAATTGATTTATACATTCACATGAATTTGTTATTGTTGTTGCTTTTTCTTAACAATTGATATTACTCTATATAATAAACTTATATTCAATGGTTTCTAACATATAATTCAAAACATCACACCATGACATTAATGAACATTAAACGTTCCGAAAAAAGGAATATCTAAGGATGATTTGGATATTTCAAACCCAAAAAGCATTCCAACCGTCCCGTTTAAATAGGATGAGTTTCTTTATCTTTGTCTCAAATCTATAGTCCTGTTTCTTTATTTTGAATGTTTTATTTTATTTGCTTACTAATATACCACTATTTAATATGCTTAGTTATAATCAATTTTACCACTTTAATCTTGAAAGTGTACAAAAATAAGGATGCATATTTCTTAAAACAATAAAAAATACATTTCCCACTTCTTGAAAACATGGATATAAAAAACATTCACATACAACTCTCGTTTCTTCTTCTTTTAATTGTGGTTCTCCAACTTCTTCACTTTCTTCAGTGCCTGACTCCACAAAATATGCTTTTAAGTTCTTCACACACAGACACTGACCCCCTAATTATTTGCATATGTGATTCTCTGCAAATGTAATTCTCTAAAATCTGTCTAAACCATGAGTACAAAATCTAAAAATCATCCACATTCTATCGAAAATACTAGCACAGCAATTTTCGGAAATGATCTTGACTCGAAAAAAACAGTGAGGCCATTACTTGATTTGAATGCTTAGCCGACTAAAGATGGTTATATTTTTGCTTCTCAAGAGTATCAATGTGTTGTCTCTCGGATGATAAAAATCTATCTACCCAAACTCTACGAAGACCAAATTGATGCTCATGCTGATAAAGTCGATGTTGATACCAAGAGACGATCGAGGCTCATTGCATAACGTTGTGATGTCACAAATTTTTTTTTAACAATTTAGTGACAAGGATTAATTTGGTTCAATGCCAATGTTTACAGCAATTTAATCTAGGTGTTATTGCCATGAATCTAGATTATATTTAAAGCATCTTAACCTGGTTCCCATTTTTTATAGTAAATTGATTTCTGTTTTGGAGTAAGTTTTTTACATCAATTTGCAACAAGTTTTTTACACATGGATGGTCTTGACAACATGGTCTAGAATAAAACATATAATTCTCTCTCTTGTATATTGATTTATGAATGGGAAACTATTAACACAGATCTGCAAAGTTACCCGATTGAATTAAGAGCTGCCTACTACAACTTCGGACTTAAACTAAAAGGAATTCGGTAGTTGCCCATTTCTAATCAATTATTGTTTGTTCATATGTGGAATCTTATAATTGTTACCCCTAAATTTTTCATCACCTCAATCATGCATGATTGCAATATCAAAAACACATTGTTCAAATCTTCAAGTGGAAAGTTCTCAAAAGCATTCTCCACTGCTGAAACAAAATCTTCAATTGTAGTTGGAGCCTCTTGATGTTGGAGTGAATCAATGGCTCTAAAGAAAAAACCCAAGGTCTAAGATATTCATATCGTGACTGTTTGGAGGTTGACAACATAAACAAATATCAAATCCATCCTTTCTCGCTGCTTATATGAAATTAATATCATTAACATCCAAATGTGGCTTTGCATTATCTTGTTTAATGAAGATGGTCATAGAACTTGAACATGGCCATTTTTGTTTGATTGCGGGCAAAAAATTTTCAATTATACATGATTGGATGACATCTTTAGTTACCGACACAGTAGGCTATGACTCCAAAGTCTAGGTTACACGATTTCTACTATTTCGTTTCGCTGGTTCCTTAGACACAAATGGCCAATTCCAATTTTTCCGTTGAATTCTTCATTTGTAGTAGCATCAAATCGTGGACGAGCAGCGGCAACCAAAAAAATTATCTTTGTAACAAATCTTTTCCTTTTACATGTGTGAAAGGGCTCCGTTTCATCCAGATGGAGATAATGCTTTTGTGATGTCTTAGACATATAAAACCATTTTTCATCAATATGAACTTGATTATGCATGTTAACAAAAGTAGGTGTAGATGTTAAGCTACCTTCATCTACCATTGATAGGCAAATTTTTTACCTTGCTCTCTTGTTCTCGTCCGACAAATATGGTTTCACCGAATTTGAATGTGGCCAAATATGTCCTTCTTTAGCTCTCCTATGTATGGTTGATTTTGACATATCCAAAGCCTTCAATAAAGATCTTATATTTGTTTGAAGACAGAAAGGGATATCCTTCATTTGTTCGAAATCTATTTCAACTCTCTTTTGACATCTCCTAATGAATAGCTTAGAAGAAAAATCTGGTACATCACTATTTGTACTACTAAAATATTTTCCTTCATGCCAAATTCTAGAAACTGATCTAGTAGATATAAAAAAGGAGTTGGCTACTTTCGAAATTGTTCCTTTTGCTAACTTTCCATCTTTTCTTTCATGGAGTAGCATATCAAAAATAGCTCTCTTTTTTATCTCATAAGAAGTTTTTCTTCTTATTTGGATGATACATATTGTTAGCCACTATGTCGGTAGTGCATAGAGAGTTAACGTCTTCTGGGAATTGATGCAAATCAAACTAAAAATTTTGTGGAAAATGTGAATATTTATCATTTGGTAAAGGTACGTTTTCTGGTGAAAAATTCAAATCAATGGAAATAGTTCTTGATGTGCTACTCATTTTTTACTTGTGATTAAATCCATCTACTTATCTCTATGTATAATGCGCAATCAAAAAATTTGAAAAACAAAATTGGTGTTTTCAGTATAAAATTTTTGTGGATAAATTGGCGGACTTGCAAAATGAAAATTTGTTTTGATCAAAATTTTAAATTCTGGATTTGGTGGCTAGTAAAGATTTGATCGGAATTATGGTTTATGTGGCGGTAAGCATTAAATTTTTTTATCTAAAGTTTAAATTCTGGTTTTAATTTAATTTAATTCAAAAGTTCATAATGAATCTCATCAAAATAACTTACTATTTTCAACAATAATTTACTACTGGTTGTTAAAAATTAAATAGGAGCATACTAGAAAAGTTTTTGGCAAAAATTAATTTTTCAATAATAATAAATAAGATTTCTCGATCCGTGTGAAAAATAAAACCAGCCTATATAATTGAGACGGATGGAGTAACGTTTTTTAACATCATTTGCTAAAATAATAACTTTTGGCGTATATATAAGGGTTGTTTGAGCCCTTTTTTTATTAAAAATTTATTTAGAAATAATGTTATGATAAAGGATGTGTGACTAAAAAATAAGAAATTTTTTTGAATTTGTATGTAATATTATTTTATTAAAAATATATATGATTAAAATAGTGTTAAAATATTGTTGAAAAAAATATTTTGATGAAACAAATGAGTTTCAAACAATACTTAAATTTCATGACATCTATAAAAATGTACCTAAAAAATATAACCCCATCATAGAGACGTGCTAGATGTCCAGGCGCCTCAAACGACCCCCCAATAGGAGGGCGCCAAAGAGGCGCCTGGACGTCCAGTTTTATTCTCATATCTCTTCCTTTCGACAGGCCAGTCTGCCATTGTCTTTTGACAGCCAAATTCTAGCAAGCATTTTTGTCAACTCTGACACCAATTCATTCTATTATTAATTTTCAAAATCATCAAGATTCTTCTACGTGTCCCCATTTGTATAAACTTCTTTGAAATATAAATCAGATAGTGACACCCCATTACCCAAGTATAGTTGCCGTTTCAAATCTATAGTAATTGGCTTTTATTTCTTTTTCTTTTTCATTTCTTTGCTTATTTCCTCTGGGCCCAGTTTGTGGAAACCAATTCGTCCTTCTAATTTGAATTTTGAATTTTCACACACCCATTTTTTCAATCCCATCTCTCTTTTACGGTAAGCAATGCAAACCCATTTAATTTTTGTGCATGAATTTCATTTTTTTTTGGATTTTTTTTTCTTTGTTGGGATGTTGATATATAGATCTGAATTATTTGGATCTGATATTTTCCCCCCTCTTTTTTGGAATTTGATTGTGGGTCTTTTTTTGTAGGTGTGTGAGGGAGAAGAAAAAATTTTTATTTCTTTTTCTTTTTCATTTCTTTGCTTATTTCCTCTGGGCCCAGTTTGTGGAAACCAATTCGTCCTTCTAATTTGAATTTTGAATTTTCACACACCCATTTTTTCAATCCCATCTCTCTTTTACGGTAAGCAATGCAAACCCATTTAATTTTTGTGTATGAATTTCATTTTTTTTTTGGATTTTTTTTTTCTTTGTTGGGATGTTGATATATAGATCTGAATTATTTGGATCTGATATTTTCCCCCCTCTTTTTTGGAATTTGATTGTGGGTCTTTTTTTGTAGGTGTGTGAGGGAGAAGAAAAAATAGAAATAAAATAATTGTAGAGGGAAATGGCGAATAGAATTGATCAAGAGTATGATTATCTTTTCAAGATCGTGTTGATTGGGGATTCGGGTGTTGGGAAATCCAATATTTTGTCCAGATTTACCAGAAATGAGTTCTGTTTGGAGTCTAAATCCACCATTGGAGTTGAGTTTGCCACCAAAACTCTTCAGGTCTATTTTAATTTTTCGCTTATTTTCTGTTTAATCTTCTCGATAACACACATGGATTTGAGATATTTGAGTGGGTAAGTATTTTGTGGATTAACCCGTTAAGTGATTACTTTGATTTTGACATTTTATTGTTTTATTTTTTTTGTAAGTTGAGTGATGTATTGATGAAGAATTTTAGATTCTTGATTAGTTTCAGATTGTGAATGAATTGACTAATTATGATTATGGCTAATGATAAATAATTTGATGTAGTTATTCTTCTAATGATTATAAAACAGTGATCATTAGCTTATTTCACTGAGATCATTAAGCCCATGTTTAGTGTTGTTAAAAACCATATTTTTAGTAGATTTTGGTAAAAGTCGATGAAATTTGTCCTTGAAAAGTCGTGGGTCCCATATAATACATTGCTAAAATCAACTGTTGACTTTGACTTAAATTTAATCCACGCCAATCAATTCTTAATTTGGTTATGTGATTCACAATGAAGCCAGCCAAACGTTTCAACATGTATTATGGATTAACTTTGTCTATGCTTCGTTTTATGCTATACCTGTAATATCCTCGGCCATGTTCTTCCTAATGTTCTTGTGTGAAAAAAGAGAGAAAAAAGTCTTGGAGATGTGGTTATTAAAGTTGCATTGCTTGCCGCTTAAGCGTTTCATATACTGTTTAGCAAACAATAGTCCATCATTTATAATTTACGACAACTCGAACTCGTTTCAGATTTTGAATCTTCATCACTCAATTATTTATTTCTGTTTTGGAAAAATGCTTGTAAAACTATTTGATGTGTTCCATCTAGTGATTTTGGATATAGTATATTGTGTAGTAACTTACCAATTTACATGGCGCAGATAGAAGGAAAGACGGTGAAGGCCCAAATATGGGACACGGCAGGGCAGGAGAGGTACCGAGCCATTACAAGTGCCTACTACAGAGGGGCTGTTGGGGCACTCCTTGTTTATGACATAACCAAGAGACAAACCTTTGACAACATCCAAAGGTGGCTCCGGGAATTGAGAGAGCACGCAGACTCTAACATTGTCATCATGATGGCCGGAAACAAATCCGATCTTAACCATCTAAGAGCCGTTGCAGATCATGATGGTCAAACTTTGGCTGAGACGGAAGGACTCTCGTTCCTTGAAACGTCGGCACTTGAAGCATATAATGTCGATAAAGCTTTCCAGTCTATTTTGACAGAAATATACCAAATCATCAGCAAGAAGGCACTGGCAGCCCAGGAAGCAGCGGCTGCTACTGCACTCCCCGGTCAGGGTACCACAATCAACGTCGGCGAGTATGGAAATACCAAGAGGGGTGGCTGCTGTTCAACTTGAATTTAGTTCTCCAAGAAGGATCTCAAAATTGGTAGCAAATTTCATTTTCTTCTAATTATTATTATTTTTTTTCCGTCTTCTGGGGCAAGAGAGTCTTGTGAATACTTTCTTACTACATTGCGACAGGAAAAGGATATGTTTACTGGTTTAGGAAGTGTAGTATCTATTTTGGATTGTGATTTCTGGTTTTATCATTTTTCTTGTAATAAAAAGACACATTACATTTTTTTTTCTTGCCTTAACTCAGATTTAATTAATTCTTGCCTTTTCTTGTTAATTTCAAAATTAGGATTGTCAAATTCGAATTTGTGGTGAGTGGCATTTTCTTTTATGCTATGCTATTCTTGAGTATTGTTGATTTGTTATTATCATGAAGTGATAAGTAGCGTATAGCTGATTCCAAATTTATCGACAAATGTTAATTTGGTGATATTTATAGTATCAATTCCAACTTTCTATTGGGTCTTTAGAAGTTTTTGGCTTTTTAAAAACCCATAATAATCGAACATTTTTTCTCATTATTATCTCTCCTTATAATTCGAGACTGGATGGTTTTAAGTGCTGCTTAATGATTACTATATGTTGAATATAATCATACTCGTTTAATGATTGAGAATTCATACACTTTATTTGTGAGAGTTTGAGACTTATGTACATGCTTGGTATGAATTTGCGCCTTGAGGGTGGAAGAAGAGAATTTCTCGCGTGCAATGAATCGCCTAAGGCATTCATAGACTCGGCAAATTTTTATCCACTTGTATTTAATCTTAGACTGTGTTTGATAACTCCCTTTTCCATGGAAAAGGGAATGTAAATTCTATTTTCCTTTCATTTGCCTTGTTTGAGAGGTAACATTTTCTAGGCAATAGAATTTCCATTTTTCATGACACGTGACTTGTTTTCCATCAAATTGGGAAATTCATTTTCTTGTTGTGCCACAAAAATTGACAATTTCTAGACAATTCAATTATCTGAAATTCGTTTTCTTTCTACCCAAATTCCATTTTTACAATCAAACAGGCTCTTAGATATTTCATGGATTCAAATCCGTGTGTGTGTATGTATCCACACACAAGAAATTCTAAAAATACATTTCAAAACAATTAAAAATATAGAAAATTCAAGAAAAATAAAAATACTTCAAACTCTTAGAGTGTGCATGATTGACAATTTTTCCAAGAAAAATATTTTTCAACTTTTGGTCACAATCATATTTTTATCAAGTACAAAGAAAATATTTTTTCAGATGAAGTATTTTTTATTTTCTAAGTAATTTATTCACTCTTTTTCTCTCTTATCTACCTACCAATAAAAAATAAATAAGTCTAATATTTTCTAGATTGAAAAGTAAATCAATCAAATACATTTAATTAATAATTTTATTTATAAAAATGAGTTCTAGACAATTGAATTGTATAAAATTTATTTTCTTTAAATGCAAATTTCATACTCGTAATCAAACGCACCCTTAATGATTATTACATAGTCAAATTTTAAAAAAATATATTTAAAAGAATACAAATAAAAATTCTCAATCCAACTCATTAATTTTATTTTTTATTTCATATCTTTTGCAGGCTAAATTTATTATTATTTTTATTTTACTTATGTAAAAAAAAATATATATATATATATTGTTAAATTTACCAACTTTAAAATGTATATATTAGTTGATAATATATTAATATAGAATTATTCTTTTTTATGGAATAATCATATTTTATAGAATAAAATGTCATAAAATAATTTTTCAAAATTTCAAACAAAATGTGCTTTCTAGTTTTCTATTTTGAAAAATAATTTTTCAAAATGATAAACTAAACGCATTTTTAATAATCTTTAAATAGATCCTCAAAACAGGAAATTGAAAATGAACTCAAAACTAAAAATTAAAATACAAACCAAACAAGCCCTAAACGGGACCTTGACTTTTCCTGTACTAAGAGTTCTCAAATAGTTGTAAGCCTTATGTTTGTATTTCATTTCCATTTACTTGAATTTTTCTTTTCAAAGTCCATTTTAACCAATCATTTTGTAAAATTCAAGAGTACTCCAAAGTAACTTTTTACCGATGGACCCCATTTAAGCATTTGTTCCCAACCCTAAGAATAGTGTCCCTATGGGGTTACCGTGCAAATGGTTCCTAACCTTTAAATATTTGATGCAAAGATTACTAAGCCCGTCAATTGCATTCTATTTTTCTTTCTTCTATTTTCAACTATACAATCTTTCATAAAATAATATTATACGTAAATCGAAAATTTTTCTTTCCTTTTCAACTACTCAATTTTTAAAAAAACACTATTCCACCAATTTTTATTTCCAAAAAATGGAGCCCAAATGGGGATAGTACCTTTCACTTCATAAGCAAAATTGGCCATTTTAGATGGTTTCCATTCAATTAACTGTTAAAAAGGTCAAACTTTTGATAAAAATAATAAAATATCCTTACTTTTTTAGTTAAATAAATATAATAAACGAAAAGAGAAAATTAAAAAAAAAATGTGACAATTAAAAAAGACAACTTTAAAAATATGCGAAAGTCCAGTGTAATGCTTTAAAAATAGCGTTAGAAACAACTAAAAAATACCTCTCCACAGTAGGAAAAACGACAAATGGATTCAAGATTCAAGTAAGCACCACACTATTAGACAGTTTAAAAAATAACAAATAAACAATTTTTTCACCAATCAAATCTTGCCAACTCGAATGATGTCAAAGATGATGTACACTTTTAATGTACAAATGACTTTTCCCTAGATTCTGCATAGGTAATATATTTCACAGGAAACTATCTTTCATCCATGCATTAATCTATTTAGTAATCAGCCAAATTACTCTACTTGCACGTACTTTTTGATACCGATAAAAAAAAAAAAGAAAAAAAAAAAGAGAGAGAGACATTCTCTTCATCCCAAAATCGATGGAGAAAAAATTGCACCTAGTCAAAGCTGATTATTTGGTTTACCCTTTCCAAAGGAAACTACAAATGGACTAGTTGGAAAATCTTCAGCAGAACATTCGACGATAAGAGTGATGGGCTATTGGTTTCAGTAAATTAAAAGGCAGATGAACAATCCGGTAAGTGCTAATACCACAAGATTAACTGCGCAGAGACGACTGAGTGTGCACTCACTGTAATTCCATACTGAAATAGAAAAAAGCAAGAGAGAAAATAACCTAATTTTGAGTAACCTTCATAGCACTAATATTTTTGTGATCAAAGCACCACAAGTTAAAAGAGTGTTTATAATAATGATTTAGAAAAAAAAAATTACAAATTTAGGAAGGCGAGATGTGACCTGACATCCAACTTATGAAAGTTGAACGAAACATTGCCCTTGTTTGATCCCCATTCTTTGGTAAAAATGCATTTTTCAACAGTATTTTGACATCATTTCAACCTCATATTTTTCAATAAAATACTATTACACCCAAATATAAAACTTTTACTTATTTTTTAGCCACACATTTCACATCAATACACCATTCAAAAATTCATTCTATCCCCTCAAAATGGGACTCAAACAAGGGCATTAACCAGTAATAGCAATTACTTCTTTTTCTTTTGATTTTTGGGAGGCCGGAGAACACTCCAATCCATCTTCTCACGCTTGTGTTGATTTTGTGAACTACCATTTCCACTTGGAGATGATTGTTGGTCACCTTGAAAAATTTTCGGAGATTTATTCGGATATGGCGCTTCAGAGGAAACAGGTCGTTCCCTCTTAAGATCTTCACTTGCAACACCACCCAAGCTATCTGGCTCCAAGATGGGTGAGCCACCTCGCAAGTTCCCGTTTTCTCTGTCATAATGGAAAATCAAATTTATTCAAGAACATGTCAACGAAACTTGGTTCGATCCGAAGTTAGCAATAATGAGCATGTTTAACTAAGTTTAAAAGATTTATAAGTTAGAATAATGGTTTATGTGCATCAACCATAACAACTTGATTAATGCTCTCCCCTATGTGCAGGAAATCAGTGCCGTGGTGTGATTGATGAGTTCAAAATCAAGACTGTAGATGTTGCCAGGTGGAAGAATGAAAAGACAAGTGTAAGGGAAAGTGTAAGTGGAGCAAGGTTTTATAGGTTATAATTAAACAAGTCTTATAACGAATATTTTTTATTCATCAAAATTGGATGTACATTTGATTATTTTGACACTAAGAAGAGAGTTAAATTCAAAATAAGTAAATTCTTTCACTTAAAATAAAGATAAGCAATTTGATTGTAAGATTTATTTTATTGATCGAAATTGGAAATATTTTTGATCAATTGACACTAAGATGGGAGTTACATTCAAAATAAATAGTTTCTTTTCATTTTAAATAAAGAAAAAAGTAACTTATCAAAACATGTTTAAAATAATAATAATAATAATAATTAAAAATGACGTTTACTCATTTTTGAGCTTAGCCACACATGTTCCAATTCATTCTCTCAAGACAAGCTTAATATGCAATAATGGTCTAGCACTAGTTGTAATAATCCATAAATAATTTCAGTGCACTATATGAAGTTCGAAAAGGAAGTCTCAAAAGTAGGTGGTTATGAAACTCCCGAACAAAGACATTCAGTTATTCGAGCAAAATATAATGAAACAAAAAACCGGGCTACTTTAGCAACCGAGATTCATGAGCATCAATTCATTAAAAATATGAGGTCACTGTTAATGGGAAAGCTAAAGCATATGAAAATATATTTTTGCTAAATTTCCACCGAAGATAAAGATCATGTGCTAAATTGAGGGAACCAAGAATTGTCAGTAAACTAAAATGACAATTTATAGGGTCGGAACGCAAACCTGGTCAACTCTGTTTCTCTTTGTCTTACAGAACATGTAGCAGAGGTTTCTGGTTGAGTGGGGTCAACTGCTTCCTCGTTGAGTTTCTATCAAAATAAGTTTCGATGTGAGATAACTAAATTCAAAAGATCATGTGATATGAAAAGACTTTCAAGAACTGCAGGTCATTCAAAACCCTTATACTCACATCAATGGAAGGATTAAAACTTAAAAATGACATGCGATATCTTGTTGCGGAGGGAAGGGGATCACCTTCGAATATAACAACGCTGCATGTCAAAACAATTGAAATAAATACAGAAAATCTCAAGGGGAAAAAACCTATTATAATTATTTTATTTTTCAGCAGATAAGATGTTCAACAACTGACAAAATTGCAGCAGCATATCAAACATGATAATAAGGGTCCTCTGAAAAAAAAAAAAAAAAAAAAAAAAAAAAAAACATACATAAGATATAACATAAAATTGCATCAAAATTCATAATCATGAGCAGGACAAAGGATTAACATATCGATATCGTACATACCTTCAGGTTCTTCAAAGTACTAGAAATCTCCCGCTTGGCCATTATGAATTCCGAAAGTTAATTCAATCAACTTAATGTTCCAAACAGTCTATCTCCGCCATACCGGAATGAAGGGCGGAGCTCTGCTTAGGGTTTTTAAAAGATGGCTACACAAAAAAAAAAAAAAAAAAAAAAAAACATACATAAGATATAACATAAAATTGCATCAAAATTCATAATCATGAGCAGGACAAAGGATTAACATATCGATATCGTACATACCTTCAGGTTCTTCAAAGTACTAGAAATCTCCCGCTTGGCCATTATGAATTCCGAAAGTTAATTCAATCAACTTAATGTTCCAAACAGTCTATCTCCGCCATACCGGAATGAAGGGCGGAGCTCTGCTTAGGGTTTTTAAAAGATGGCTACAGTGGCCAATTTGGAATGAGGGCAAAATATCCCCAATTCATACATTTCATTCAACTTTACTTTTATTTTTGAACAGTAGATTTTTAAAAGTAAAATGACTATTATACCTTTATAATACAATTAATAAAAATATGCCTAAAAATAAAAAAAAAAGAAACCACACATCATAAAAAATTGAATAATGCTATTTGCAGTCACTCACTGCGACAGTCGCTCTATGTGACATACACATAACAGGTGATTATTTGATGCATTAATGAATAAAAAACTACCACATTAATACATCAAATAATCATTGTCATGTGTATGACACGTAGGACGACTACCGCAGTGAACTATTGCAAATAGCATTACTCTAAAAAAATTGGAAGCTCAACCATAATTTTTCCTTTTTAAAATATATATATATATGTCATAAATAATAAGTTATTAGTCAATAACAATTATATCCATGCAATCCTTATTTTTATTATCATTGTATTCCTAATTTTTTTTTTTTTATAAATATTTGACTTTAGTTCTCAATATAATACACACAAATTTATTGACCTATCTTTTTTTTTCCTCATTTTTTCTCTTTTCATAACACATTAGCAGCTCAATTTTTCAAAGTCTAGTGAATGTAGTAATTTTTTTATAAGTATAATTATCTCTCATGTGTATCAAAATTAATTAAATAACATGTGAATTGTTTATATATACATATTATGTTATTAGTTTCTATCAATTTTGCGGAATTTTACAACCTTTTGTATCAATTTGTGTCAATTATTACATTTGCCAGCCAATCATTATGTTTAGCGAAATCAATTCTTAAATATCAAATCTAGAGAATTCAATTTAGACTGTAAATCCTTCATTTACAAGCTTGTGTTTTGTTTGTACAAATTTTTTGTCACAATTTACATTAATTTTCAATTTTTTTATAAGCATGTGAATTGATTTCTGCCCTAGCAATCATGATGTCAAAATTGCTTATATCAACGTAAGAGTATGTATATGATAATGAATTAGGAACTTTTTATTACTACTTCACGTCTGTGTAGAGTCAAATTTGTGGTTACTATTACACGTCCACGTTTCATCAATTCAAGTTTGTTTTAATTTTTTTCTTCTCTAAGTTTACAAAACATATTCGTTTATAATGGTTTGAATCCTCTTTTTTGTCTTTAGCTTGATTAAATATTTTTAGATATTCTTTTAAAATAGCACAACATTATAATTAATATTCTAAAAGAATATCAATCGTATATCTGTCTATTATAAATAATTTGTTGTTGTTCCTAATTAATACAATATTATAATTAATTTTTCAACAAAATATCACTTGCTCCCGAAAAGTATAAATTATAATTTTCAATATTCAAAAGAATATTGATATATTACTCTTGAAAAAGCAATTATTAAAATACAAGTTTCGAATAGTATATAATTTTGAATTAGAATTTATCCTTGTAGGATAACACATAACTCATGTCATGTCGATATTGATTAATTTGACTCTTGACTAATTATTATGTGAGTATACAATGTTTAATCATATTCTTTGAAAATTAATTGTATTCTCTTTATATTATTATGCAGTTACTCAAATGGTAAGTATAGGAATTTTGAGATGAATTATCAAGATATCTGTTTAGTTGATAAGGCAATTATATATACTATTATTCAAGACCCAAAAAAAAAAACTCTGCCGAGATTACCAGTGCAAGGACGTTGCCATAGTTTATACAGGAGCATGATTGGCAGCTTATTGTATTTGATTGCAAGATATCCTAACATAGGCTTCAATTTTGACGTCTGTGCAAGATATCAAGCCAAGCAAATTGAGTCTTAGTTGACAGCTTGTAAACAAGTGATTAGATATGTCAATAGCATTTCCATCTTTAGCTTATGGTACACTAAAGAGATAAATCCTCATCTTGCAGGATATACAGATGTCGATTGGATTAGAAACATAAATGGTAGAAAAGCATAGAGGTTGTTTCTACATAAGTAATAACCTTATACATTGGCTAAGTTCAAAAAAAAAACCAAAAAAAAAAAAAAAAAAAAAAAACACCCTATACACTCCCATATGGCATATATTATACATTATAAAAATGTTTTAATCAAATATTATCACGAATCCAAAAAAAAATTTGGCCCAAAAAGTTTTAAATTCTAGCATGATTGACTTGAAAATTCAGGAGCCATAATGATACACCGAATAATTAACAATTTGCATGGACATCCACTAAAGAACCAGAAGATTCTTTTACTGAATGATTATCCATGTGATGCTTATTCATGAGAAAAGTTGTTCATTCGACATTCCATTACAAGGTCAATGTAAAATATTTTACTTTCTTGAAAATAATCCATGGAGATATATACAAGCCGATACACCCACCATATGGATCATTCGTTATTAGGTTAATTTCACAAACGATCACTGAACTTACGCGAAAATTACAAAACAATCACTGGAGTTTAAAACTTTCGAAAACAGTCACTTAAGTTTTGGGCGATTTCACTAATGGTCACTGAAAGTACCAAAATGAATCTAATTCAAACCTAAGGACCAAAACATGTGACCATACAAATTTTTGAGGACCTCAGGTGTAAACTTTCGGCTACCTTAAACCCACCCCCAACAAAATTGGTTTAATTTGATGATTGGGTTCGTTTCTGGATTAATTGGTGCAATTGAACTGTTACCCATGGTTGTATAATGTTGTTGGAGACTTGATTGGGACCAATTTGTGATTCAATGATGTGGGCAGGAGGAATTGAAGGAGGCAAATCTCATTTCGTTTGATGTGCAAGACTGCCTGGTTCGATTCAACCTTGTTGGTTCGAAATTGGCGGTGACTTATAGGTTCATTGGATGCGCCATGAAGAGACCTTCCTAGGGGTGGTGGTCCGCGATCGTGGGTAGCATCCTTGGCGCCGAAAATTGGGCTGAATGGTCCGAGTTCGTTATTGTAATTTCTGGCCCTTTTTGGTAGCATGGGCAGCCTTCTTTGATCGAAAATTTCAGAAAAATTTGATGGAGTTTCGACTATTGGTTGGGTGAGTTGGAAAGAGTGAAGTCTTCAAGGTGGTATGTTGGTCCGACAGTAAGGTGGTCGGAGTTTGGAGTTGTGGTGGTCCATAGGTGGTAGCTCAAAATCCTCAAAATTCACAACCTTCGTTCCGCCAGCAGGAAGTTTGCACTTGACATCCTCAAAATTTTGGATGCTCACGTGTTACGGTCCTTAAGTTTGAATTAGAATCATTTTGTTACCTTCAATGACCATTTGTGCAAGTTTTAAAAACTTCAATGACCATCAATGAAATCGCCCGAAACTTAAGTGACCGTTTCTGAAAGTTTTTAACTTCAATGACCGTTTTGTTATTTTCCCATAAGTTCAGTGACCGTTTGTGAAATTAACTATTTCTTTATTTTATTATATTAATCAATTCTTCTAGTAAATGATCACATGTGTGCTTACTTTCCACTCGAAATATAGCTTTTGGTAAACAAATTACTCATATTATTAAATTACAAACTCAATTTTCTCATTATTCAATCAGGACAAATCGTCTTAATAATGTTAATGAGTTTAGATTACAAGCATTCGATGATTACTATTTGCCAGTTGAGATTGTTATCGACCATTTGGTTGCACGTGTCCATACACAAAACGATTTCGTGGAATTGTCTTATATGAACCAATGATTTGACAAACAATTAGATGTTTATCGTAATACAGAAAGAATATCCCTTGTTCGCTCTTTCATGGCATCCCTTCTTACGGGGAGCTAGCTTGTGTAGATTATACTGATGGCGGAGGGATGAATTTGATTGATATAAAAGATAGATCTTGGTCCAAAATAATATTGGAGGTTAGGCATCATTGTCAACTGCAATTAGAGCAGTCCCTTGATTATTAATACCGTGCATAAATCTTTATCTAATTGATATATATGATTTTTTTTATTCGCCATATATTATAAGGTATCTTGAACTTTTAACGGATGATTTATTTAGTATACGTTTTGTAGGTTGTCATTTTGATAAAATGAATTTTTCTAACTTTGGAAGGATAAAAGAAAGAGGTTGGCCCAACTTAAATGAGATAAATTACATTCCGAAAAATAATGTAAAATATCTTGGAATGAACAACTCTATTTGACTTTGATTTCCATAGCAATCAATGTGAGCAAGAAACTGAAAAATATTCATTTGCAAAAAATTGCAAATCAATTGCCTGAGATAACCATTAACACAAAAAGTAATAAAGTTATATACACTAGAAAAAGTTTTAGCAAAAATTGATGTTCTTGATGGATAGTTCGATATAGCAAATGAATATCAAATATGCTAGAAATGTAATCGACTAGTTTGTTTAAAGGACTCTGTACCGCATAAAAAAAGTACAAGAGAAAAATTAATGAAAAACTTTAGAAAAAAGTAATATTAGAAAAGATTGATCAATAAAATATTAAAAATA